TTAACACCTCTTCAACAGTGTAAGTCAATGTCATACAAAATTAGAAAATCAGACGCTGCAAGGAAGAGGAAACAAATAATTTAAGTCTAAAAAAGGGAGGGGTTGTTACTGGACAGAGGCTGTGATATTCAAGTTATTTTAAGAATACACTTTCAAAAGCCATAAAAACACAAATACAAGATTGGGTTAAACTGGAAATCAAGTTAAGCATTTTGGTCAAGTTCTCGTTTTCTTCAAATAATATCTAATAATTATTATGCTGAATTTATCACAACATAATCTAATTTTCTGGAAACAGCACTATAAACAGGGTAAGTGTCCTTTGGTATAAATTTCTGACAACTCTGTGAACAAGAATGGATCTAAAAATTATAGGAAAAACATACTGACTTAAAAATATTTTATAGAAGTGTATCATTTTATTAGTTTCTGCCAGGCAAAGCACCTGCAAAATGATTATTCCTAAAAGCTAGTTTACATTTTATTTGTATGGGGGCAAAAAAACCCAAACGAGTCATTAAAGCTGTTACTGAACAATGCAACTACTGTAATCTGTGAAAACCATTTGAATAGTAATGACAGATATGTTTCTTATAAAGTAAAAAAGAAGAAAAGTTATGGAGAAAAGCTTTTGTTTGTGTATCACAGAGGTATTCAACCTCCAGTACTTGAGTCAGCAGTTTCAAAGAACAACACAAGAAAATAGAAGAAATATAGACTTTCTTTTTCCTTTGTTCTGGTATTGGCAGTATTTCAATTGTTTAAAAGTCAGTAACATTTTTATGGATCTGCATAGAAAAATGAGGAAAGCCTTATGAACTATGTTGTTTGTGGATATACCTTAGAATAATAACAGCAAAACTGTTGATATGCAGTTTTGAAATAATACATTTAAGCTTGTGTTTCCACAGCCAAAATGGCGAGTAGTAGGATCAGTCAATAATTTTATTCTCTTTTGTTTTCTTGTGGGTATTTTGCATACTAGCTCCATTACTTTAATGTAATGTAATTTGCTGTGGTTCAGATGATTAATTACTGTTACTGTAAGTTCTGCTAGATCAAACTAATGAACATTCAGCACAATTTCCTGTCACTTCTCATCCCAGCTCAGTCTCCTCATCCCCACATATAACACACTTCCAGTAAAAAAAACCCACACAGAATAAAACCCCTGGACCAACTCTGTTTGTTGACTATCACATTCAGATTTTGCTAAACCCTTGCGAGTAACACGTGCTCAAAAACATTCAAATATGCTGAAAGAAATTTGTGACTCTCAAATACTTATACACATACATCTTCCATAATAAATCTTTACTGTGGCAATGAGATATTCTTCTATTTACCTGTCCACGTAACGTTTTATATCATTTAGTAAAGGACAGATCAACAGCTTGAACAAAGCGTAACTCTAAATGAAGAAAACGTTTAAAAATCATTAATATCATTTTAAAAGGTATTTGAGTCATCTCTTTTGGCCTCTGTTTAGCTGTGCTAGGCCTGTGAATGACAGCTTCCCTGCTTGAAGCACACAGAAAGCACAGCCTTCCTCATTCACTGTCAGTACTATGGCCTTTTCACACGTTCCCTCCACAGCAGTGTTTGTCCCCAAACACTGGAACCCGGCACAATGGCATTCCTACTCCAACACCCCCACCAACAGCACCACTACAGATGAAGAATGCTAATGAGGTGGACATCCCCCCTCTCCCAAAGTGTTCACTCTATCCCATGCTATCAGATATAGTGCTGTTCCTATTGTTACGTGTCACAGCTCACTTCAAAGCAGTTTTCATTTTGGCGACGCTTTTTTTTTATCTAAAAGCATTTTTAATAGAAGCTGTGGTGGCTCGACAAAAAGATAAAAAAATATCTTAGGTGCATTCACCCAACCATGCACATTATATATAAAATTAACTGATTTTAACCTCCAGATAGGTTTGAGGATACCAGAAATTCCAACAGACACCTACACAGAATGTTTAAAATTCTGGTAAAAGGCTGACAACTGAAATATTAATAGCAGAATGATTCTATCAGAACTGTTGTTTAAATTTTACTTTCTTTTATGTTTGTTTGTTTGTTTGTTGTTTTTTGTTAGAAAACTGCATTTTACAGTCCCAGAATTTAATGGCATTAAAATGCCAATATATTTGTCAAGATTTTAGGGAAGCTTATAGATCATTGTACACATCTGCAATTGCAATCAGAAAGTGTTTAAAGGGAAAAGATAGAAGGTTTTTGTAGTATAGTGGTTATATGTATATATTTTCCTACTTCTCGTTTATTTAAAGTAAAAGTAAAACCCAAAGCTCAAGTACTCATTCAGTTTTACCTGTTTTCCTTCACTGTATTAAACTCAAGGAATACTATTTAAGGGATACTGAGTGTCCTCTTTAAAAGGCTCCAAACGCCACAGCAAAGAGACAGTAACTCCTCACTCCTCTGGGGCAAGAAGCAACAGAGTGATTATAAAGACAACACCGTGCAACCAGTGCACTGTGTGGACCAGAAACTGTGTATTGTATTAATTCAACCCAGGCATTTTAAACAGAAGTCCAGATGGATTTAACAGAAGTATGTGTATTAGCATACTATTATAGAAGTATGTGTATTAGCATATTATTAGTTGTATGTAAAATTTGACTTCAATGGACAGACTAAAGTGTCTCAGCAGAGTAATACCGAATCAAAGAATGTTCCTTTTTTTTTTTACTTCCATTCCCTTTTTATCTACGTGAAAAGACAAGGTAAGGACAAGTAATTCAAATGTCAAAATAGCACAGAGATAAACAGAAATCAAGAAAATATATTTAATGTTGTCAAGTAGTGGCTAGAGGTTATATTGCTGTGAATACTGTACAATCATCACAGCATTACCCTGTCAGGCCTCAGCACCACAGGACAAAGTGAGAGTATTTTCATTGAATGGTTTGTTAATTAACATGCTTTCTAATTTTGTATCTGTATCGTATCACGGTGTGCTCTTTACAAAATAAACTTGTTTCAGTTATTCAGAAAAAAAAGGGCAACATAAGCAAAATATGGTAAGAATTGTTATACCTACAGCCTAAAATAACCTGCAGTTACTATAATTACTTTATGTTCAGTACTAACACAACTTCTTAGAAAATGGTTGGAAAAATTACCAGAGAGACACTTTACACCAAATTATGTGTTTCATCTTATCTTTGGAGTAATATAACTCAAAATAACACAAGCTTTTGGCACATTAACTGCACAAAACATTTAACATTCTCGTGCTGCAAAATTTTCATTTCGGCACTTAATCTATCTTATTAATCCAGTTTATTATTATTAATTGTTTACTAAATTATTTTAATCATAAGTTTTTTGTAGACAATTAACTGTCATAGCTGTACTGACATTTATCCCTATAATCTGGACTCTTAAAAGTTACAAATGGCCAACGTGGTTATATGAGCATATGCCTATATGCAAGGCTTTCATTGCAAAGAATCATTTGTCTTCAAAAGAAATTTCAAATCCACTGAAATTGTTAAGTATTTCTTGTCATTTACAATTTCCAGCTGAACCCTGATGGATAATCAGCAAAGGAATTACTAACATGAGCTAATTTACTGAAATGTCTTTATATGTTTTTCACAGAAAAGAGCAAAAAATAGTCAATAAACAACTTCCATGTGAATTTCTATTTAGAAACTGTATTGTCTGTTTTGTTCTACTAATTGCCATTATACTTGCTAAATACTCGTATGCATTATATATATATATTTGTGTTTATTTAAGAGTAAATATTATATTTTAAGGCACTGGAAAGTAATAGATTTCTGTTCCATGGCTTTTGTGAGAGGCAGTGTTATCTTAAAAGTGTAAAATCATCGACATAAAGTGTAAAGATACATCTGACTTTTTAATGTATCACTCCACTGCCTCAGAAACGTTCTGAAACAAGTTTTTCTTTTTCCTTTTCTGCTTGTTTGTCTTTCACGTGCTCTCTCGGTTTCGGTTTTGTTCCTGTTGGATTTCTCCTTGCTGACCACTCTCAGCTCTAGACAGGAGCGGTCTCCCCAAAGTCAACGCTCGTTTCTCCGGGTGGATCTGACAGCAGGAGGTGCTGTATAAACAGCGTGACTGACACTTCTCCTGCTCCTCTCCTCCCCCTTCCCGCACAGCCTGGGAGCTCAAATCTCTCCTGCAGCCATTCGGAACTCTGGGCCCCGACAGCACTTTTAAATCCGAGGTTCCCAGCTGGCTGCTTAATTTCTGTATGATACTTTTCCTCCAAAATCTGTTATGTCTCCCATTCTTATGAAGTTCTCACCTTATTCTTAAAAATATGTACGTTCTTACACATATAAGTGAACTTATGTTACTATGCTGAGGAAAATCGGTGTTTTCTTACTTATATTTCCTAAAATAAAACATTTGATTAATAAAAAATATCATCTTATTGCTCCTAAACTTTTAGACAGTACATTCAGTATCTGTTTTCCACTATTTTTTCGAATTAAAATGTGTGTCTGGTATATTTGCTTGATGGCACATGTACAGCAATTAAAATATTGATGTTTTAAAACATGATATATTTATTTAATTTTTCATAGTGCAACACCAGCTATACTTAGAAGTGTTTACTTATTTAAAATATGTTTCTACTAAATCATTATTTAAATTAGTTTTATGGGAAGATCTATGAGACCATTAAAAATTGCATGAGCAGAACAAGCATTGAAAAATGATTGCTTTAGAGAATATCCACACAAGGAACATCACAGCTAGGCAGCAAGAAAAGATGAGGCACATGACATCCCACACCAAAAGAGAGACACAATTAACTGCTTTGTTGTTAGCTTTGCAATTACAGGAGAAGCATTTCATTTTCCTAACAGGCACTGCAGCTTCTGCAATATATGTCACACTTCTTTATGACACAGTGCCAATCCTTGGTTTTACACAATTAGTACATTTGAAAACTAAAAGAGAAAAGCAGACTTTTAAAGAGTGGGACAACTCACCTGCTTGCAACAGTTTGCAGACTTTAATCGTTGGTGCAGGGCCAATAGAACTCCTTGGATATAAATCTTTGCTCCTGAGAGGCTGAAACCTTCTCTCTTGAAGACCCAAAGAGGTCCTCACAAAGGTGTGATGAAATTTTGCAGGCATCTGTCAAGCACAGGAGCTATGCAAAGAAAAGAAGAAAAAGAGGGGGAAAAAAAAAAAGAAAAAAACAACCCCAAAAGCAAAGGCATTCTTTTGACCCAACTGAAACACAGAGCCTCTAACACAGCCTCAGCATCACAACTAACCCTTAATATCTATTATTTATATCTGACCTGGGTTAAGCCTTGGAAAAGCAACTCCTGCATTTCTAGTGGCCACCATGAAGGATGTATTTATATTGAGACACCCCTCAGGAAAGACTCCTAAGCTCCGTGAGCACACCTGAATAGTTCTGAAGTGTGCCTAACTAGCTGCACGGAGTGTCATGGTGTGCACTGATTGCCTTATCTTCTCATTTATCACAGATGAGTTGGAACCAACCTGGCTGAAACCTACTTGCATTGTCCTCATAAAATTGCAAGATCCGTGGTGTTTCTGTACACAGTTTCCTGTTGAGGAGCTGACATACACCTACAATATTATAAAATGGTAACATTCATAAAATAGAATCAACACTCTCATAAGCTGTTTTATTATAACCTTCTCGTTGCCACTGCCTTAAAAACAACTTACAGCGAATAAAAGTGCCCAGTGTGGCTGTTTAATAATGAGGAAAGGTCAAATGAAAAGATATATAAAATTGAATCGTGGCGATGCTCTCAACGAGATCTTTTTCTTGCCATTTTTAGATTTCAAATCACTGTAAAGGTTGAAAGCATTCTCTCAAAGGGTCCTAATGTCAATATGTGAGATAAATAAGGGATGATTATTTTGGCTTCAGGCATTACTAAGGTGCATGTGCTTTGCAGATATTTTTTTGCAGCACATGTGGGCCTTTCTGATATAACAAAATAAAATAACAATAAGTAGCATTTCAGGCTTTTACCTGAGGGAAGGGAAGGGAAGGCAAGGCAAGGCTATAGTCATAAAGATTCATATTAGCTATATAGGTATAAATGGTGCATTTCCCAGCTATATAAATACTAACACAGAACCATAGGTTTCATCAGAGAAAACAGAGGAATGGGGATTACACTTTAGGTATTTTTGTTAGAATAGGAGACACACGTTCCATTTGGTTTTGGCAAATATTTAGCCTCAATAGCTGTTCACTCAGCTGTGAGAACAGAGTCTGAACTGAGGCCTCAGTTAAGAAACTTTCATATGCAAGTTCATTAATAACCAGAGGCTTTTGGACAGATAAAGAAGGAACATATCATATAGTTAAATTCACCTTCAAGGATAAAGAAATAGGTAATCATGCAACAGACTGTACTTTGCCTCTGCTGAAGTCACTGCATTTTATGAATGATTTAAGCACATGGTTAACTGAAACTGTGTTTATTTTTGTGAAAGGCATTAGTGTTTTTTAAATCATGTTAAAATCCAAGTCTTCTGACTTCCACAAATTCATGATGGAACTTTATCACCTAGTCAGTAATTTTATGTATTCTCACACAAACACTCCTGGGAGCTTCCATATAGAATGCTTACTTCTCTTTTATCTAAAGAGAGAGCAGACTTCACAAACTAAGACTGATGAGGATCCACTGAACAAGGTTAATATGTATATTAACCTACACTAATGATTACCCTAAAAAGCAATACAGCAACACTTTTTCAAAATATGTCATCATAGCGAACACTCTAAACCAGGATCCCTACTATAGACCATTAAATATTTGCTTTTAAAATCTGATTTCTCAGGACATGGCCATGCAACTGAACATGAGGAAAAATTATTTCAAGATGATAGTAAATGAATTAATACTTTTCCAGATTATTCTAATAATGTACTTACCCCTTACCACGGGATTCAGACATAAAATTAAGAAGATTAGGTGAGATAATGAACAAGGTCTGACCAGGAACACTGGTAGAGTGAATATACTTGTCAGCAGCATGAGAATGAAATCTATGTTTCACGTTATGTGATGGGCAGTGGTTATAGTCATACTTAGTTCAAACAAAATAAAAGGGTGAAATCTGATCCCAGTGAAGTTTTACAAATACCCTAAGTGAATATGGCTTTTACTCAGTGCTTTTTAACTTAGTTACCATAGGAAAATGATTACAGAAACGAAGATAAATGAAAGTAGTGGTGCTTTTCTGAGTATGTAAGTAGACTGAACACAGCTGTGAGAAAATGTGTGTATACCGGAACTGAATGTTACATTTGAACACTAATTATAGTACTATTAAGTATTTTACCACAAATAATTTTAAGATTAGTACAATGCAGCCATGCTAATCCACCTTCTCTGAAGGTAATGACCTTCAGGACCAGAGAGGGATAGTTCCAAGACCTGCTGGGGTAGCTTGGAGGTTAAAAAAGTGTCACCTCTTTCAGACACACCTAACACCCAAATTACTCAGCAACACTGAACATCAGACTCACATAATTTTCTATAAACAATAATAATTTCCATAAACATCAGCTGATTTTATCCATAACGGTATTTGCTTCATTCCACACTCAGCCTTAATGTTTCCAGTTTCATAGTCTCAAAGAGCTTGTATTCTTTCTTTTTTTTTCCCCCATTCTTTTGACCTCCTTTTTAAAATTCCAGATATCAATGGTATTAAATTATTAAGTGTTCACTAAAGTACAAAAACACGTGTCCCTAGAAAGGTAAAGAAATAAAGGTAGATCACTAAGGCAGTAACTTCAGAAGAGTGTATTTTACTGAAATATTCCATAACTTTATACAGTGTGGTGATTCCAGAAGATGCTTTTAGAGTTCTAGATAAAAAACACACAGTTGCTCAAAAATTATTGCTAGTTTAGGAATGTTTTTGCTGTTCTCATTTGGAACTGATGTAGGTATGCAAGAATGATTTCCAACGAACAGGTACCTACTTCCAGACTTCCATACATTTTGGTGACTTACCTAAAGCAAAGAAGGTATTGGTCTGAACTAGTACCTTTCTGAAAATTAAGAGTACCAGTAATTACTCCACAGTACAGCTCTCAACTCCACTACAGTGCTTTGATACTACAGCTTTATACAAAGCACAGCCTGCAAAGCAAGGTGGGAAGAATCTATAGGCAAAATTTCCTGAAGGTTTGCAAGTCTCTTGTGAAGATAAAAGGAGAGGACCCAAGGATCTTTGCTCCTCAGCTAAGCTGAACAGTACAAATACACCTTTATTGTTTTTATTCTCCCCCTTATTGATTTTTGGACTTCATATCACGTGACAAACATCGAATTTCCTTGAAGAAAATAATTGGTTTACAGTGTAATTTTACACTCCTCTGAAGAACAGAGATGAGAAATTTTCCCTAAAACAAAACCCAGAGATTTTAAAATGATGGGGATAATGACATGATGCCACAGTGGCAAACAGGAAAGAAAAAACTTTTTTTTTTTACATTGTCTTGTCTTTAAACTTGCTAAAAATTATAAGAGTGCAATGTTGATCAAACGGAGTGACAGAAAGCATGAAATCCAAAGCCCAGTAGGGTATCCACAAAAAGTAAGCAGAACATTTGTAAAGGAATGGGAGAATCACCGTCTGGCAATTTGCAATCATCACAAGTGGACTGCAAAAAAATAAAAACAAATAACCCAAAATTCAGTTTGTTAACTTTCTTCTTACTTGAACTCATGACATTATTGGAGCACAGACATTAGTATTATGCTGAGCTCTTTTCCACATCCCTTCCTCTTAGCAAATAAGCCACCAAGCAATAAAAGTATCCTTTTTTAAAAATAAATAACAGTATCAGAAAAACAGGAAATAAACCATCAACAGTTTTTCCAGAATCGGAAAAAAAGAATCTCTCAATATGACCAAAATACCAGACATTCTTTTTATACTTCCTGGGGACAAGGCTTTTCCTGAAGGTACTTTCAACATGCCCTGTACTCTGAGGGCATGAGATTGTGTTAGCGTGCAACACAGTCCTTTATGTTTCTTATTTTAAGCAAATATGATGCAGCTCTTTGTCCAGGGCAACTGGCATGTACTACCCAAAATTGTGGTTTACACAGAGAAACCAAATGATGGAGAACATGCATTTTCCTGTGTTGTTGAAATTACATCAGTGTGGTTTTACTCAAACAAAAACTAATCTAACAGCTGCTGTGTACTTTTGTTTACATGCTGTATGTCAAATCGTATTGTCCCCAAGGTACTTATGAGAGATGCTTTAGCAGTCATTTTCTTAAATACTGATGCCTATCCGAATTTGGATTTTTCCACCATTGAACAGAATGACAAGCACACGATTGCTGTACTTAAAGCAATCCTTCACAGCTGCTTCGCTTTTCCAGTGATCCCATTGAATTGACGGCACATGCCTGTGGGGTCTACAATGTTACAGTGCTGCTGAACAAGATGTTGATTGTACAATACAAAATTGTACAACACAACTTGGCTTTATTGTGGGAACCATTTCCCGGGTCCTCCTTCCATTGATTTTCAACCTGAGCAAAAGTTGATTTAAAATCCTGTCTGTCTTCGTGACCTTTACTGGACACCTGGTTATGTTAATTGTTTAGAAGTGCAAACTCTAACCCTCGGTGGTTGGTAGGCATGAAAACCTATGAAGTGTCCCCAGTTTCTAAAATGAGCATGAGTCATGTCTTTTCCTGAACTGAACGAAGTAGCTGTGCATTAAATATGCTGGCACATCTTCTGCTTGAGCAAGTGGACCGAAATGGTGTGAATTGTTAATGCCTTGCTGCTTTGGTTCACGGCTTGTGATTGATCATTTGTAACTATATCTACTCCTTGTTCCATGAAATCAAGTATGGAGTAATGGGTTCATCAGATTTTTGGGTTAAATTGAGAGTGAAGAGGTACTGTGTGTGGAAATAAGAGTTGCCATGTTCGGGGCTGGCCTTGTAACAGCATGGAATCTAAAGGCGATATTCAAAACCACTTCACTCATCATACGCTTACTGATTCTGAATAGGGTCCATTTGCAGGGGACATTTGGTAGTTTTCCAATACACTTTATGCCTCTTTCTTCACTTCTACCACCCTGCACATCTTTTTTTTTCTTTTTTTTTTTTTTTTTAACTAGAATAGCTTATAACAGGTCAGTATAGAAAATTAATAGATTTAAGTATCTTGCTATGTGAAAGTTAAAATAGCCTTGGACTGAAGTGACTGTCCTCCTGCTAATTAACAATACTGCCTAAATATTAAGTCGTTTCCATGACTCAGGCTATAAAAAGCTCAGTAAAGTTTTACTCGCAATGCAGAATTATAATTTCATATTTTGCAGAAAATTGTTTTTCCAGGCAGAAAGAAAGAGTTACAATAGCCTTAGTTCTACTCCTCGATCCATTCATGTGCAGGAATGACACGTATTTCCAGACACTACAGCACAGCTTGTGACTTTGCAAGCAGCAGTGTGTGGGACAACAGCAAATACAAGCCAACAGCAACCAGAAGTGACAACTTGTGATGGCCTGCAGGAGAGGAATCACACACAGCTTCTCCACAGAACAAGAAAGGTAATGCATGTCAGCACCAAACTGGCTGGGGTGTTCACACTGCTCTGTCTGTGCAACAGAACCCTCCCTGCACTTCCTGTGCCACCTCAGCTCCTCTAGGTACAAATCATCAACTCAGAATAAAATACACCAGCTTGTTTCCCTGTTTTAAAACAATCTGTAGGAGTGATTTCGTTGCAGGTGAATGTTCAGCTTGGAATGAATGAACGACTCCGGCCATGTGAGACTCACAACCAGGTTTTCCACCTGCTCCTGTGCCGAAGTTCAGAGACAAAACTAAAATCTGGATAAATTTAAGACCAAAAGAGAAATACAGAGTGACTACAAACAAGTGACTACTTTTGCTCCTCATTTAGGAGTAAAGAATGAAATGAAAGGGAATTAAATGAAAGAGAAGTGGAAAGAAGTGTACTGCATGTATACCTCTGTACATTTGTGATGATTACAACCATATTAAAACAGGTACAGCAGCTTAGTTCCATTTCATCCAGTCTGTGGCAGACTAGATTTTTAATCTCCCTTCTTTGTTCAATATTTATCCTGATGAATGTAAACTTAACACAAGCCTGTAGCAATCAAGTCCACGCACAAATTCTGTCATTAAGAGTTTTGGGGAGGCTTCAATCCATGCAACACTGGAGAAGCAGAGGAAGCAGTTATGAATGAAGCAGTTGTCTTTTTCAAAACTCATTTTTAAAAGTCCCCATCTTTTTCCCCTCTTTTCTCCTTCTATCTTTATGCTAGCACTAGGGAAACCCTGCTGAGGTCAAGATTCTATATTTAAATATTAAATCAGGCTAATTTTTAACTATTTTGACTCATGGTGACTTTGTTGGCTCGTAATTGCAGTTGGGAAGCTTTCCCATACTTATGCAAGGAGTTGTGCCACCATTTGGAAGATGTTTATCAAGTCTACAGAAGTCTTTTACAAAAACCAATGATTTCCCTGAGTATTTCTTTTTTTTAAATTCTGACTAACTTGTAGATGTTCATCTCTACTTTCAAAACATTCAGTGCTGAAGCAGTTACAGAAATCTGTAGAGATGCTATTGCAGCAGCCAGACAATGAAAGGCCAAGAAGACTTTTTCAGCCACAATATGCTGAGAATTCTTGACAACAGTTCATTGTGATGCATTACTGCAATCCACTGGTGAGTTCACAGGACACAGGATGGTTGGAAGGGACCTCTAGACTTTGTCTAGTCCATATCCCAGCTCACAGAAGGGTCAGTCAAGAACACATTGGTCAGGGTTTTCTCCAGTGGTATTCTGAATGTCTCTGAGCATGAGACTTGGTAACATCTCTGGGCAAACTGTCCAGTGTTTGACCACTTTTTTGTCTTATGCTCAAATGCAATTGCCCACCCTTCAATTTTTGTCCACTGCTTCTTATCCATTCATTGAATACTACAGGGAAAAATGAGAATCAATGTTCTTTACTCCCCCACACTTATGGATTGGATTACAGCTCTCCAGCTGCAGGATTTCACATTTCCCTTTGCTGAACTTTCTGGGATTCCTGTCTGCTATTTATGCATTCTTCCTCCAGAAGTTCTTCTAATGTGCAAAAGTTCTTTAAGACTTAAAGAAGCAAGAAGACATATTGCCTAATTCAATATGCATATAACTTAAGTAGAAGGTAGAGAAAGGTCCTGGAGAAAATGAGAGTTAATCTTCATAACTATGATCTCGTATATATGAATTTCATTCAGGCAAGAGACTCACTCCTAGTGAAGTATAGTTTAAAAAAATCCTACATATGAATGGATATATTCAGATTTTAAAACAAAAACTCCAGATATTATTTTCAAAAATTATGAAAAACCAGAGATGGTGTTCTCCATTCAACCAGATACACATACTGCCAGAGAGGTTTGATCTTCTGTCATTTTTTTGTATTCTAATTTACTGAGTCAACAGAAGATGCATTACAATAGAACTTAATGCTGCTTTAGTGCTCTGTTGGTTATAACCCGTGGTGTCAGCAGGTACACATTTGCCAAATCAACTCAAACATCTTTGTTATTTTCCCTGTTCATACCATGCCTTCTACACTAATCAGAATAAGGTATGTATATTCTGTATGTCAAATAAATTCAACAGATTCCATTGTGCTTTCCAATGGAGAATATCACACAGGTGAGTGGAACCAAGGGTGGAGCACTTAGTTTTATTTAAGTAACAAATTTTAATGTAAAATCTATAATCTTTCTATTATTATATATGGTATATATAATAATACATACAACTTATCAGTAGAAATTTACTATAATAATGATACTATTCTGTATATTATAATATACTACAATATATCGTATTGTGTTATATTATACTACATTCTGTTATATTAGGTATACTATAAATTGGTTTGAATAGGTGAAATAATTAGCTGCATCTGCTGATGCCAACTTTTACAAGTCTGACAAATCAATGAATATACTCCCATAAGACTAGGCAGTTAGAGGTATAAAATGATAAAAGCTAATATGGGGCACAAAGTACCTGATAGTAGGCATAGAGCAAATTTTTATATCTCTGTGGGAAAAGTAATGATAAACACTCCACAGAGATGAGCTTCTACATTCAGAATTCTGATCCTAGCTAAGCTAAGGAAAAAAACACTTCTCTAGCTGTGGGATCAATGCCAGTTAACTTGCCTTGGATCTGTCAAAAAAGCTGTTGCTCACTGTATACCACACCTGAGGATAGAAATGTTGGGCTGAATCTGAACCGAAACATTCGGATGAGGTGCAGAAAAGAAATATCTGGGTTGATTCTTAGACAGGTCATGTAATTGGCATCAAAGACACTTTTGTTGCAGTACAGGATTTCACCATGAAGGTTCAGGGTCTCATCATGACTGAGTTATATTTAAAAACTGGCTTTGAAGAAAGTACTTTAGTAGTAACTTGTGCTTATAAACAAATGCTGCAAGTGTGGTTACACAGTCTGTGATTAAAGAAAATTTGGCTTAATCCATATCCTGTTATCCAATGTGCCACTGATATCATTTGCACCATAAATTGAAAATGCCACTGAAGAGAGAAATATTTTCATCACATAGGGTAGGAAGGCTCTGAATATATCACTGGGTTCCTTTTTCAGCAATAGTGACAGGGTGTAAGTCCAGTTTTTCCTCGGACAGTGTGGGAGAACGTTTAGCTGAGGCTGTCGTGCTCTTTTCGTTACAAAAATTTTTATGAGCATTCCCTATATTTCTTTTTATAATCAAGAATAAATTCTTTTAATACCTTTGACCTGAAAGTATCTGTAAACTTCGAAATAACAAGAAAATTCTCATAATGAAGACAGCCTTCTCTCTTCCTAAAACATGGCCAGGACATGCTATCTGGCTTGTGAGGAGAGTCAAAAACCCTGGAAAAATTCTACTCCTAGTTGGGCTGAGATCTGATTTGCTCCTCTGAAAGTGGTTAGGATTTGAAGAGAAATAAGTAGACTAATTTACACACATTTGTGGAGGTGCAAAACCTAAAGAATTTAAGACTCCTTTTAATGGTTTACAAACACTACATCTTCCACATATACTTCTCCCATGATAGGAGGATTATTAATAGGCACAGGCACTTCTAAAGTCTGAAGCTTTTGAACATATTTATTTAAAATCTTGTACTAAAAATCTTTGGTCTGAATAACAAAATATTTAGGAATAAGGAAACAAAAGTCCGAGGGATATATATTTAAATACCTAATTAAATTTATAATACAAAGATATAGCTATTTGCTAAAAATATCCCTGAAGGAAAGCTCAGAGAAATAATTCTTAGCCTTCTTACACAGAGTTGGAATGATGTCTTATTTACAGACCATATACAAGGGTAGGAGAGATAAACCGTGTGTGGTATTCCATTGAAACTGTCGGAAAAAGCTCTCATACTAAAGCAGAACTGATAGAAAAAGGCCAATCAATCACTGAAAAATGGATTAAAACTATGTAAATACTAAAATGCTAGAATTACATAAAGCAATAGCTTTATTCATGAGCTTATTTACTGACTATTTGCCATTTTTAGTTCCATTTAAGGGCACCAAGCCACACAAATTATTTAAAGAAAGAAGTCCAGATTTTATTTTCAGTTCAAAGTCCTCAATGCCTCAATTTAGTAAACAGAATGCCTGTTCTACAAATGCTATTTACCATTTATTGCCCATTTTTTCTCCTTATACGTTGCATCAGGATCTCACTGGAGAAATAAGTTATCCTCAGCGTGCAATCATCTGAAAAACTTAAAAAGGAAAGGTGTTACTGCAAATAATAAAAACCTATTTCTTTATCAAATATCTTAAGAAAATCAAAAAAGCCATAGGATGATTATGCTCTAAACAGCTACAAAGAAAACATTTATCAATTAGAGAACAAATGCAATGCAATCTATCCTCCACATAAAATGCAGAATGAACAGCTGTCAATCAGTTGATTTCCAGCAATGACTCTACACATTTTCAAATACAGTATTCTATATATGCAAATTCATTAGAAACACAAGAAATCGCATATTCCAAGAAATATTTTGAGGGAAAAAAGTAATTGCAGGTCTAACAAAATGTTTTGTGTTTCTTATCAACTGAAAAAGTGTGAAATAAAAAAGAAAAATTTAGATGCTTCTGAAAAATGAATCTACACTTCAGATGCTGTGCACAAATACGTAACAGGAAGATCTTCTTCAAAGACTTTACAGACAGACTAAGTAAGACAAAACTGTTATAAAATCTAATTAGTTTAGCCAGACAAAAAGAATAACTATGTTGTGCAAAATTTTTTTGTGTGTATCCATTGACCATAGATGATCATGGTAGAAAAACAAGATAATGTAGCAATGTCTTAGAAGTTACTCAGTGACTCCAGCAAAAGACTCCTTGGCAGTGGAAGGTGGGTGGTCTATGCTGGAATTACACTGGGTGCTGCAGAGAGAGAGGGGTTTGATTTTCCCTACTGCACTTTTGTGTTAACTATATATTTTGACTAGAGCATGCATGCCTTGAATAAAAATATATGCTAAACTCTAGAAATGTCACAACTGCTAAATTTAACTTCTGACTCCCATTTAGCATCTAAATACACGGATTTTTATTAGTTTCAATGTTTAAACCTAAATAACTTTCAATAAAAAGTTATTTTTAACTTCAACTTTTGACTCTGTTAGCAAGGATAGAAACTTGCCTTTAGATAACTTTGGAATAACACACCTCAAACATATTAATGTTTTGGCCTGCTGCATACCATCACAACAAGGAATATCACAAACCATTTCTTGTGCCCACCATCAAATTCTAAATTATGCTTATTCTCCATATCCACATTGTTCTGATTGTTCCTAGTCATGCATTACAGCTATTGTTTTAGAGAGAATCCTCCCACTGCTGGGATTTTATGCTGAACCAGGTTTTCAGATTGAATAACTTAAAGTCACATAGCTCAGTCAATGTAAAACATGTATTTCTTGACAGCATTTTTTTAAATACTATTTGCTTGCTACACTTACTTCAAAAGAATTGATTATTGAATATTTAGCTTACGTCCCTCCAGCTTGTACAGAAATCATAATACTTGAGAACATATACAATAGGTGTTTTATGTTGTGCAACACTATTTCAGTGAATGCAAAATTATGAAAGAGGTGAATCATCACTATAGGAGTTGTGTGATTAAAGCAGAAACTGTCACTGGAATGATGCTGCTGAAATTACCTGTCATTCTTTGAAAGAAAGTCTAAGAAAGACAGTACACAAGTTACTTTTTTGATGACACAAATGGCAATACTTTGACCAGGAGAAATTCATTGTTCATGGAGCTGTTGAAAAGAAGAGGCAGGAGGAAAATACTAATGACATTATCCAACCATCATTCCTATTTCAGGTCAGTCAGGGAATATCCTAAGCTGCCTTTTTCAAGGTGCTCATAGAGAACACAAAGCGTGAAGAAAAACTTTAAGAGATCTTGTAAATTTTAAGAACGTGTCCTGTTTTAAAAATCCCACATTCAACTGTAATGAGACATGTTCAAATGTGGAAAATGCATCTTCTACCTCAACAGAACACACATTCCACAACTGACATTGCACACCAAACTTAGGAGAGATGCTGCCTGCCCAGAGAGATCCAATTTAAAATAAGACAAAGAGAATACACCATCATTAAAGTTTTGTGGGGTTATTTTTTTTTTCAATTTTAACTGTAATTACAGTACCTTCAATGCAGTTCTAACACTCACAAATATGGAACTCTTTGGAAGGTGCTGCAAACCACCTCAGATTGCTAAAATTCAGCATATTCCCCTCCATTTCCCATTTTTTGTACATATTTGCCATATTTAGGCCCAAATGCCATGTTTTTGACCCAGTTCTAATTTTTCTTGCAAGAGAAAGGTGGGAAAACATGCAAATATATCACAATTTCTTACAATGACCCCAAGGTCCTCCACAAGTTGTAGCTTCTAATCCTTTACAACTAAAGGGTCCTTATCTTTCTAGGCAATATCCTAACTGAAAACAATTATGTAAAAGTAGATTTGGGAGAACCAGGTTCAAATTTCAACAGAACAGTACTTCAGGCATTTTCTGAACTTTGGTTTGGGACAGAAAAAGTGTTTCATACTAGTTCAAAATAAGTATAAAAAAAAGAAAATAATAACCATATCTCTCATCTCTTCTTTCAAATTTTGTAAACATATTTAACATTTTTGCCAATTTTAACTGCATAAGGGCAGGCCCTTTCAGCATGAAAATATCCTTTCCTTCCATGAATTATGAATCTTATTTTCTGTACATCTGTATATTGGTTGCTGTATAGTAGGTGTGCAGTTATTCTATCAGTGACTAAGTGGGGATGGGAGGAAAACTGTGAAGGTTGTACAGTCTGCTAAATCTGCATTTTTTTTTGATAAATGAAACAGAGGCAGCAATTGTTCAGTGTGTCTCTTTTCTCATTCATTCAGTGATACACATCTAGCATAAGTGAAGTGAGACAGGTGTCACTTTTGTCTGGGTTTCAGAACAGAGGGAATCAAACATCCTTCGGCTGCGCTTCAGACTTTCCTGCCAAGCTCCCACCAGATTTGATGAACTCACATAACTCTGCAGAGCTGGTCCATTCTTTCATTAATAGGTAAAAGTCTGAAAAGAAATACTGACTACAGAGAAACGAACACACTTTTCAGACAGTAGCAACAATCTGCTGAGCATTTTGCTTATTAGACATAGAAACCCCCCACATTTCAACTGGGTTTTTTTAAATCACACTAAGTGAATGACACAGCAAAGGGAAAGAACAATATCTCATTCAAGTAACAAATAATATTTGTATTCGAGGAAAAAGAAAATGCTCTGCTTCTGATATATTGGTGATTTGACTGCACCATGACTGGGGTTGTCCCAGATGAGGGCAGTACCCTGGGAAATTACCAAAATATGCACCACATGTATCATATGCTGCCTTTATTCTTCCATTTTTCTGTAGACATCTGCCTAAAGACAGGATATTGGACTACTAAAGTTCAGTCTCATACAGTATTGTAATTTTTATGGCAATTAGGCTTTGTTTGCAATTTACAAGCAAGGAATAAGTTTTCTTTCTAAATCACTTGACTGGAGGAAATATCATTTGAAAATTTTAATTTTTTTTTTTATGCTTATTGTTGCATTAATACCTGAGACACCGATTTGCAATTCATTTCAAATGTGTTGGCCTTTTGTTGTGGTTTAACTTGACGATTTTAGCTGGTTTATTTTTGGCATATGTCATCTTCTCTTATGTGGTTCACTGAGTGGGGGAGCAAAACCCTTGTGCTGGCCAGGGAGCTGCAGAAGGCCGACAATGACAGGGCACAAGTGGTGGAGGCTTCTTTTATCAACAGCACTGCAACACCCTGACTTCAGATATGCTCAGAACCACAGCCTCAGTCACTTTTGCCCTGTCATTGCAGGACTCCTGCAGCTCCCTGGCCAGTCACCCTTTCAAAGCAGTCCAGACATCTATGAGGCATCATGGGTATCAGTTTAACAACCTATGTTCTAGGTCAAGATATCCTCGTGGAAAAAAAAACAAAGATTGATTAATACCGTATTTCTGTGATGTTCAAAAATCATGGCTGAACTTTTATGCTCTGCTGTACAGACAAGTTTGATCTATGTGTTTTGATTATCCTCATCATGGTGAAAGCATTGTGAATGTTCTAGTTAGACAAGAGGTTCTAGGAACATTTACTGCTGAAGTGTTATTATTCACATTTGAAAGCAATACCTTGATATATATCAGCACCAATGTTGACAGCAATACAATTAATTTTATATTACAAAATATGGAATGATGTCTATCAAAAACTGACAGACACATGACTTTTTATTAACTGTGCCAGAAGTGGTTATAGAGTTCTCCCAGGTATTATTTTAGTGGATGAAAATTCTAGTGAATAGAATAGTTCAGTTGGAAGGGACCTACAATGTTCATATTGTCCTACAGACTTAAAAACCCCCAAATCTGGATTGCATAATTCAGAGAGGACTGGATGTTAATAGTCCAGGCATTCAAAATTCCTTACACTCAGTGGAAATCTTTACAAAGTATTCCATGTTGTTGATCAACCTTAGGTTTGAAAAGTATTTAAAATTTATTTTTAAAAACTTATTTCAAACATATCACAGGCTAATAAAGGAAATGTGGTATAAAGCATATGTGTCATAATTGTTCTGGGACTAATACATATGCCCTTCTAGATATACCTGAAAACAAAGACAGCACATCAATTCTTCTAAATCCTACTGAATTGCCAAGAAAGTATTAAAATGCCTTACACAAGAAAAAAGATTCTTGTATACAGCATAAATTTAAAATATGTTGTTACATGGTTACAGTGTTATCTCTTTTAAGACAAGCATTTTAACTACTGAATATTTATAATATCTAACCAAACCAGAATTGACCATATGTGCAAACATATATAACATATGTAACTCATGCCTCAGGTACTCTTAGAAATTATCTTCCTTGGTAATAAATCCTCAGATCATGTGCTATTGGTTAGCAGACACAAAAGTAGGAGAAGAAATAGGCATAATCCGAAGCAAGGTGACTACTAGGCAAAGACAAGCAGGTTAAAGAGCAAGGGGGATTTCAGGAAAGAGGGAGAAAAAGATGTAAAATTCCCCTTATCTAACCTGAACATACACATGATCCCTGTTTTGCTGAATTCCAAGGCTTTGTCATTTCAGAGGTTTTTTTGCCTGCTTTTTTTAATCTGTAATTATACAAAAGCAGTACAACTGCAGTAACAATGAAGGTACTTTAGAGATGCACTCACACAAACACACTAATAAAAGAAGGTTACCTTTTCAATTTGATTTTGTGGTGCAATAATCTCATAGTTAACCTGTCCTTTGCAGTTCTTAAACACTAAAATTCTGCCAGAGCTGTTCTCAATAGTTTTCTACATGCAGTTAACAACGAAGGGTTTGGTTTTCTTTTGCTTGCCACCACTATGAAGAACCAGGCCGAGATACTTTCTTCATTAATGACAGATGGTCTGAAAGGAAAAAGAAAAAAAGAAAAAAAACAAGTAAAGTCAATATTTGGCTTCAAAATTGAAAACAGACACATCATGCTGCCCTTTCTCTACTACCTTAAAAATACACACTGGCCTGTCTCCACTTAGATGCTGGTATTTTCTAAAATAGTACCACCAGCTTCCTACTAACCGTGACATAAGCTGTAGCAAGCTGTCTGCAGTGATAGCCTGCATAAATCATTGTTCCTGAAGGGAACAGATGTTCAGGGTATGAAAGAGTAATACCACAATTTAGTCATAATTAAAATTCACCTTAGCATGCCTCTATCAGTGAGCAGAGAGGAACATTTCACTTCTCACCTACAAAAATGAAATGCCTCTCATTTCTTCTGCTTCAGAAAAATTAAGTCTGAACCTTTTGTACGTTGTTTGAGTTCCATACCTGACACTGCATCATATAAATGACATTTTTATTTCACTTGAACTGTTAGCTTTCTTCTTTTCCCAAACACTAGAAAATGACCTCTAAATGGTGTACTGCCTCTGCACAAAATGCACTTACAATTAAATCTTCAAAGGAGATTGTTGCACATTCATTGCATGCAGAAATATAATCGGTAGCTATCCAGATACAGATCAAAACTGTGCCAATAAACACAATCATTGGACTGGTAACAATTCAGTCTGAGCTGGATATATTTAAAAACTTAGGGGCTGAAGGCCTTTAAGAATTATTTAGTAATCTAAGATCACTAAAATCAGTGGGAGTTAGAGGATTAACTCAGGAAAAATTTGATCCTTAGCCTTGAAACTGTCATTAATGTTAATGGAATGTGTCTATACACATAATTTTGAAAATGTAAGCCTCATACTGCTATTATTGCAGTTGGATTAAGTTAGATGCATGACAGTTCTTTTGAAAAATTGATTGCAATTCACAAGTCTTTATATCATGAGGCTACATTATTCTAAAATATAAAGGATGTGTTGATTATGTTAATAAATGTCTCTAAATCCACTAAAGTATAAATGGCTGAGCCTTTCATAGTGACTTAAAACTCTAAGACAAAAGAAAATTAATCTTCTCATCAGCATTGATATTGACAATCAATTTGAAAAAAAACCCCAAACCCTGTCATTAAACCATGGTTTAGTTTCCCAGCTTCAGTGGCTGTCCACCTATGGAACTTACCCTGGATCCTCAAATCCATGGATTAGATCCTCAGTGAATGTAATTTAGATAACTTCATCGAATTCAGTACAGCTACAGTAATTTACCAGGACCGAGAATGTAAATTTATAAATTAATAATCCAGTAAGGTTTTCCAACCAAACCTACTTCTCAACAGGTAAGCAAATTTCAGATTTACATTTGAAAAATTGCTGTTTGTTCTCTTCCACGGGGATGCATCTGCATTAGTTCAAACAAAGACTGCAATTTTTAAGTGAGGAGTGTAATGCTTCCACTTAATGTACTTCGGTTTATATCACAGAGCAGTTTCAAAGCATGCAAACAGATATTATTTGGATGAAACTGAATGAAGGGATGTGCTCCAGAGATGTACCTAAAGCCCTTCCACAAATCCAAAGCACAGAGTAGAGCTCGCCCAGAGTAATGTCTTTTAAAATGTGTGTAGCGTGGACATGAAGTTCCTTTGTACTAACAACTGCTTCCTTCAAAGGTGTGTTTCTCTGGCCCTCTACAACTTGGTAACACAGACATAGTTTCATTTTTCTGCTCCCTTCTCCAGAGGCCTTCCTGTTCATTGCAGAATTTATGAATTTTGCCTTATCTTCGCTTTTGAAACAGCACAAACATGCACTTGCATTGTCAGGAAGTCCTTCTCTGGTTGCTGTACAAACCAATTGGCCTGTGCACTCGGTATGAACTCGTTAAAATCTTCTGCTAAAAATCTAATCTTTCCCATTGCCACTGATCAGGTTCCAGCATCAAATAACTTTGCTGATGCCAGTTGTACTGAGTAGCCTCTTAGGCTCAAAACAGCCTTTCACATAGTTCATTTAAAACTGGAATGCCAAGTAGGATAGAGATGGGCAAAGAGCATTAGTTCTTACTTCCACAGGTAAATGTAACAATGCTAGATTGGGAAATGCAGGAAATGACATTAAAAATTCCATGTGTTTCATAGTCCTTACTATTAACAACTGGGAAAAGCTTTTCATTATTGATTCATTACTCATTTAGAAAGCAAGCAAGTCTTACTAAATCCATTTTAGAAATGGGACTCCTGAAAAATTGTACAGGATCTCACAGAGGAGCTTGAAATAGTCTCCTCTCTACAAGGACACGGTCATACAGCAACCATTTATTCAGGCAAAAAGTTCTTTTTTACTTCACGAACAACAACAGTTTTGGAAGACAGTTTTCTTATGGACATTATTTTTTACATTAGTTACTCATATTTGTGTGAAAAAGTTAATTTGATTGACTGTGTAAGACTCTGTCCACTCAGATGTATCCCAGAACTCACAAGAACAACACATCTTGAATCACACCTTCATGTGACTTATCCATGAATTCCCCTTCTGATCATATGAAAATGTATTAAAGAGGTTGTGGAAAGACCAGTTTACCTAATTGTTAAAAACCACGCTTACTAACACAGGAAAACAGATCTTAAAATCTCAACTAAACAACACCAGTGAGTAAAAAGATGGACTGACTGCCACTGGGGAATTTTTGAAAACATTATGTTTTCAGAGAAGTTGCAGAAGGTGAGTAAGCCTGGGAAGGAAGGGCTCTAACTTGCACTGACAAATCCAGCCTAAGTCTGTACCTTTTGGTACCAATTTAGTTTGGTAGGATATTCATTTATATAGTGTTATTTCCCATATAAGCAGGTATTAGAAGTTGTCTGTCATACAGCTGCAAAAGGATGTTCTCAGTTTAGGTAAGCTACACTAAGTAAGTGTAGTTTGGTTTCCTCCTGAGCAGTACTTGGAAAAGAAGTGGCAGCTGATTTAGATTATAATGAAAGATGACATAAGGTGAAACTTAAGAGATGGCTTGGCATTGAATGATAAGAGCAAGTAGGTGCCTAAAGGCAAATTTAGGGAGATTACAGCTGCCTAAACCAAAGAATGTGATAAAGAAAAATTTTGCCCATCCTTTAAGGTTACATCCACAGTACTCCTTAAGGCTGGCTGGAGAATTGTAGTGAAGGTCAATCCTGCCTGTATTCCACAGTATAAACCTGCAAGGAAGCTTCAAGCACAACAGGAATAAGCCCTCTAGGAGTCTGCATGGCCTAAAATGTGAAGCATGACTTTTTCTTCCTAGCCTTGAACAAAGAAGATCTCAATTAGGTTGTTGTGTGCATGGAAAGCACTACATGGTAATGAATAAACTTCTGCCACTCCAGAGCAGCGCAGATATAAAATCAGGAACTTGAGGGTCTTTGTTTTCCCTTATTTTCAAAAATGAATTACTCCTGCCACCTGAAATTGTCTATATTTTGACACTTCTGTGCATCCTTATGCTACCATGATCCTATCTGATCTCATAAATTGAGCAGCCACCAGTCTTTTGGGGCTCAGGGATCTCCAAAGTGAAGTTCCCTTATTCAGATATACTAAATGCAGACATACTAAATGCAGAGACAAACACCAGTAGCACTGAGTTCACCACAAAGTAACACAGACATGAGCATTTAAACCAAAAAATGACCTGAAGAATAGTGGTAAAGCCTCATTTATAGAGTGGCCAAGTGTTCGTATTTTCTGGGTAGAGGGGGATCAGATTCTATAACATTCTCAATCTGACAGACTTAGTTCCATATTTCATAATTCCCAGGAGAGTGCTTCCAGTCTCCAGATTGCAGGCTGGATCAGATCTCTCTCCAATTGCTATTGGCCTGTGCAGCAATAAAAACAAATTCTTGGGGGGAGAAAGAAAGAACAGCCACGGGAATCTGACTTTGCAGGACACTGATAATAAAGCACTTATTTGGAAGTAGGGTAAGGGTTTTATAATCCCAGTCTTACACAATGTCTAAACAAGGTATTTAAGCAGAGGCATCAGATGAGATTTCAACTTCATTCTTTTCTTCAGGATTTCTTAGTGTCTGTTGTAAATGCTGCTTCTCTGGACCTGCCCTGTGCTTCCCACTGGTGCTATAACTGAAGTTAGAACAGAAGTGATTTGAAATTGGAAGGACACTTCTAGCCCTGCTAAAAATATTTTAATGTCTTTTTATGACCAGGATAAGTAATAGAAATAGAGCAAATACGAACAGTGAAAAGAAGAAGATTGCCAAGGTCTGTAGGGACAGAGGATATCCTCTGACTTACAACTACAGTGAGAAAAAAAACAGAGAAGCTGTTTGACATATAAGTCCTTCTTGCTTTGGTTGAATACTTAGATCATCTACAAGGACCTGCTACCATTACTTCAATACAAGTTGAAGATTTGACTGGGTGACCTGCAGAGGTCCTTTTCAAGGCAAATTATTCTGTGATCCTCAGTAATCTGCCACCATGTAGCAGACAGTTGTACAGGCTACTACCAAACATAATGTACCTTAATTTGACTAAATGAAAACTAAGTGCTTGATAATGCAAATTTACAAATCTTAACCTTGGTTTTTTATACTCATATTTTTCATAAATTTTTATGCCAGAACTCACCATAATTTTCAAAAATTAAATTATATGTTAGATGTTAAAATGATTTAAACAAGATCAACAACACTAGTCAATAATTTGGTATAGAAAGTGGAGATTAACTCAACAAACAGACGTTACACTGAGAACTGTGGACAAACAGAATATATTACCTGAATGGAAGAAACCCTCCCAAAAAACCACACAGTAGCACTGTTACTGCTGGTTAAAGCAGCTGTAAATCTTTCATCAGCTCAAGACAGCAGAATTATAGTTCAAATCCCTATGTCAAGAAATGCCTTCCTCCAGTAAAAGAGTTCTTAATGATATGATGGCACAGAAGTTTACCATTAGGACTGAGGAACAGCACTTGTACAGTAGTAGTATAAACTCAC